AACAAAACGGGATTCCCTCCCGAGACGTTTGCGAACGTCTACAGTTTCTGGCGACTCTGCTGGGGATTTAGAGAACTTGACTCGAACTTATGATATCTTGTTTTGACTACACTTATGTGTTTCTTTGCATTGCATTTGCATTGGTGCGCCTAGGACACCGTGTTTGCCATCTGCTATTCTTGAATGGTTTATCGGAGGCTCGCTTTGAGAAGCATGCCATAAGGCTGACCGGTTACGGGCTCTGCCATGATGGGAACACAAACCCCGATTTTTACCTTGGCACCCTTTTTGACCATTCAAGCTAGTGCATGTTCGGAATCCATAGTGACCATTCCAAACTAGGACAGGTTGCTTACCCGATTGTAGGTTGTTTGAAACCACTGTGTGCATAGTGAAACCCTAGCTCCTGACAAAATATGATAGGGAAACCCTACCCCAACATAGGGGTGTTTTGGCTCTCACTTGTATGCTATGTGCTTTTAGAGTGTGTCTCTACAGGAATGCATGTATCAGTTTACAAGTTTGGGTATCAAGCCTGCGGGCACTAGTTCAGTATTTTGGGAATCAGTTATCTGCGGGTATCAGATTCAGTTTTTGGGGCAGTAATTTGGGGAACAGTGATCAGTGGTTGAATATAGTTATCCAGCCTCTATTCAGCTTATCAACTGTGTGTTGTGATGCCCAACTGTGTGTTGTGTGTTTATTTACGCTGTTATGCTGCCCGTTTGTCTGGTTGTTTATTTCCTTATTATTGCTTTATTTATCTTTTTGCTAGGGTACTTCAGCACAATTGCTTTAGACCACACAGATATTCCCCAAGCACTCTGGACTAGAGGTCGCCGACTCCATCGATCTGAGGATCTAGTAGACGGACAACCAGTATTCTATTCTTTAGCCCCGGTTGTTAGACGGAGATCAGTGAGGCATAGTGTATCAGTACCGAGATTGCCAGATCAGTGGTCTTTGAACAATGAGGTTGGGATTTCCAAGTCTACTACAGAGGCAGATACATTAGCAGTTCAAATAAATCAGGGCAGTATGTCAGGGATGGAAGAAATGGTGCGTCAACTCCAGGAGAGCATGAAAGCCATGCAGGAGGACGCTATTCGTCAAGCAGAATTTGCTAAACAGCAGGCCGTTGTCATGGACCAATAGGTAGAGCTAATTACCCAGCTACAACAGCAAACCGGAGCATCTGCTTCACACCAAGCTCCTCCCCCACTAAGGGTCCCACTACCCGGGGAGACACCAAATGTCTAGAATATCCAGGAGGATACAGACATCCCAACAGGGCCGGTCCCGCCCCCAATTCTACCTCAACTATCCAAGGCACCTATGCCTATCAATCAACTGGACTCTCCCTTTGAGTTCGGGGTGGACCCTACAGCGTTGAAGTTGAGCAAGCTTGAAAAGTTGTTCAAGAAATCCTAAGGGGTAAAGTCCATCCCAGACATTGAGGACTGGTATACCGACGCGACTGTGACGCTGCCAGATCGATTCAAGATGCCACAAATTGACCGGTTTGACGGGTCCGAGGATCCCATGGTGCATCTACGCCTATTTTCAGACATATTAAGGCCGATGGGCCTCACCAGACTACAAAAGCTTTCTTTATTCGGCCGGACCCTGTCGGGTGTGGCGGCCATCTGGTACGCAAAATTGGAAGACGGTGTCAAGCGGTACTGGGATGAGATGGCCGAGGCTTTCATTGCACAGTACTCTTATAATACACAGATCGAGATCACAACCCGTGATATCGAGACGACTAGGCAGGAGCCTAAGGAGAGTTTTTTCTGACTTCGTACCCCCGTGGAGGGCCAAGGCCTCAATGAAGAGCCCTAGGCCCACTGACAAGGATCAAATACGGATGGTTGTGCGCAACCTCCAGCTTAAGCTTATGCAAAAAATGATTGTCCTCCCTCTCCCCACTTTTGCAAACCTACATGAAATTGGGGTGCAGATTGAGGATGCTTTAAAGCAGGGTCTGATTGACAGTGACAGAGAACAGCCCAAGAGAACCTTCAACCAAAACAACAATGCAAACACTAGCAGTGCTGCAAATGCCAGAGCCTCAGAAGTAAGTGTGGTCACCACCACCCCTCCTCCAAGAGCCCTTGCAGCTACCATATGTTTCTCAAAACGATTTGCCGGATTTGGACTCTTTGGTTCAGATTAAGAACCGCAAACAAAAATCGAGTCCGAACTGTAGCAAGGCCCCCACGCGGGCGCGTCTACAATGCCTCAGCAACAAAAGGGTGGTGATTGGCTAGGGGGTTGTGTGCACAAGTGAAGAGACAAAGCATTTTAAGGCACAAAATATGGAGATATAGAGGGAGATATATGCTCAAGCCTTAGGCAAAATTCAGAACCTAGAGCAGTGGGAGAGGCCTCATCTCTTATAGAAAAACAAAGGTTAAAGCTTCTTGGAGAAGCTTAGAGCTTGTGTAAATCCCTCCATACACTTATGGAGGATATAGTCTGTGCTCTTCAGCTGGCACAGCTGGCATCCACAGACTTTGCAAAATCTGCAGGAAGGCCGCCGACCAGAAAAAGTGGTCGGCCTGCTACTTTTTCTGGTCGGCCGACTACTTTTTATAGTTTTTCAAAAAAAAAGTGGTCGGCCAGGGTAATTGGTGGTGTCCACACTGAAAGCAAGCCAATGGTGGGGTGGGAAACCAGAAAATGTGGCCCAAAGACCAAGAAAATCAGTTTCCCGACCAGAAACCGACTAACGGGGAGAAAAGTGGTTTCCAAGGATAAAAGATGGTCTCCCAACCTTGTACCACTTCCCAAACAAGGAAATTAAGGTTTGCACCCACGACAAACCAAAACGGATGCGAGACGAGGGTTCGGGAGGCATGACGCGCGGCCGAGAGCCTCGAAAACCAGCTACCGAGCACAAAAATGGCGTATGACCACAAAATTGGTCTCCCGAACCATAGTGTCTCTTTAGACAGAGGAAACAAGGTGTGTTCCAAAAACCGTGCCAAACGGAGAATGTTAAGCGGTCCCGAGCCGAGGCGCACGGCCGACGGCTCCGAAAATCGGAAACTAGTCTCCAAATGGGAACAGTGATCTACGACCACGAAAAGTAGTCTATGACCACTGAGAGATGGTCTACAAGACCTCTCCCTTCTTCCGGGAAGAGAAAACAAGGCTTAGTCCGCAGACCGAGTCAAAGTATAAAGAGTCTCGAGGTCCGAAGGTGAGGCTCTCAGCCAAGAACTCCAAAACCTCGAAACGAGCACAACATGCGCAATCACCGAGCGCTCAATTGATGACGTTTGAGTCTTAAGGTCGGTAAAAAATGGGGTGTTTAAAGATGCTTCTACTCCATTCATGAGATAGTTTCAAATATAAAATGGGTGAGTCAAAACCTATAAGGATAGGCTGAAGATTGATTGGTTGTTACCTTTGTTGTTTATTTAATTGGCTGGTTGTGGTGGGTCTGGTTTTCCTGTTCTGATTTGTTTTGCTTCTGAGTTGGTTTCTGGCTTGCTGTGTTTTGGATTTATTGGAGTCAATGTGTTTAGTTGGCTAATGCAAATCTGTTATTTTGCTCTGCCTGCCGCGCAGCTTTATCTGCTGCTTGTGCCTTTGTGTGTTCTGCTTTATTCACTTTTGCTGGCTAACCTCTGCTATGTTCTGTTTTGTTCACCTCTACTGTGCCTTTGTTTGTTTTGCTTCTGAGTTAGCTTCTGGTTTGCGCTGTTCTGGATTTGTTGGAGTCAATGTGTATAGTTTGCTATTGCAAATCTACTATGTCTGCTGCTGTGCCTTGTGTGTGTTCTGTAGATTGGTGTAGATGGCAGTTTTGGTCTGCAAATTGGTGTAGAGGGGCAGCTCCTATCTTATGGTGGATTTTGCTGCTATATATTTGGTTTGATGCCTTGATCTGATTTGCTCTTGTCATCTAGTTTTGATTAGGCTGTGCCTGGAAGGGGCTTTAGTACTTTGAGTTAGGTGAAGATTATGTCAGCATCTCTTGGTAGCTCCTATCTGGTGATGTTCTGCTGTGGAGATTATGCCAATATAATGAGCATAAGGACTTTAAAATGAGGTTGATTCTGGGCTAAACTAGTGCTCTGAGGTCTTATTCTGTTGGCCTGATATGCTTAGGTAATAACAATGGTTTTAGCTTCTGTATGTTGATCTGAACTGGTGCTCTCTGGTGTGTCCTACATCAGATGTTATAGTCTGTTTTTATTGCCTGTTTGTTGCTATGCTGAGGTGTTGGCACTGATTAGTTGGTTGGTCTGTTATGCTTAGGTGATAGCATTGGTTAGTTGGCTGTTCTTTTTTCGTTGGTCTCTCACCAACTGTGGGGTGCTAGCAAATGATAGGATGAGTTTTAGCACTACAACAAGTTGGGTTTTGAATGACGAAATTTTTTTGTCTCGAAAGAGCTAATTTCATCACTATAGATATTTGTGGCGAAATATTTTCGTCACAAGTTTCGTCATTGAATGTTTGTCACTAAAAACCATCGTGACGAAAAATAATTTCGTCACCAATGAAATTAGTTCAGTGACGAAATTTTTTGTCACCAATAAAACAAGATTTTGTCGCCAAAAATTCTCATTTTCGTCACCAAATAATTATTCAGTACCATATTTATAATTTTAGTTGACGAATAAATTTGTCACAAATGTTGATCATTGATGAGGAAATAATTTCGTCACGGTAAGATGTAAAGGTGACGAAATTTTTCGTTTCCAAAAGTTATACATGGGTGACGAAATATATTTCCTCGCAAATATATTTATATACATGACGAAATACATTTCGTCACCAAACAACAAAATCAATGAAAACTTTCATATATGCGCTGCAATAAATTTTGTCACGAAAAATGTTTATTAATGACGAATAATCACTTTGTCATAATAACAAATACAAATGACGAAACAAATTCGTCACTAAACCTGTTCCATATTTTATATTTTATTTTCAATTATTATTTCACAAATATCCTTGCTCATATTCCAATAGCCTTTTAATTATACTAAGAAATCCATTAGCTATTATACATCACTCCACAAACAAATTCAGTAAACAATTTATATTATAAATCAAAATATATCCATCAAACAACTTTAATAATATAAACCATTAAGTGTAACAAAAAAACCATCAAAGCAAATCCCAAAATGAACTAACGTGGAATCCACAAAAAAAATCAACACTCAATCTCGATTTGCAACTACAACTAAGTATTCGTTCAGGAAACAAAATTCAACAGTTGATCTTCATTTGCAAGTAAACTTCCGAACGTCATTAAAAACCAATCTGCAAAGAAAATAAACAAAGAAAACATTAATATATTATCAATTACATCTAAACTCATATATAAATAATTTTATTTTATATACCAATTTAGTAGAAATGCATCTAACAAACCAAAACTTCAAAGAGTTGAGGTGATCCTTGATGATAAAGCTACACAGATAACATAAGATGCCAAAAGATTGCAGAAATACTATATATCACTATCACTAATGGCCATATATATATATATATAATAGCTCCAAAATATAACGTAGCATTGAGGTACATTTGATTCACGACAATGGGCCGATGACTTCTTCAATAAGGTAAATTTGATCAGTGGAATTTAACACAAGAACCTTGTAAGACCTTTGACTTCTTGTTTATGAATTTGTACCCAACAAAAGCCTTGATCAAATCGTCTTTGGTAAGGAATCATTGTGATTTTTTATTTTTTATTTATAAACATGCTCATGATTTTTTTGACTCTTTAGTTTTAGAGTGCTATCCTAGCATTATCACATAATAAAGCCAATATATATATATATATATATTTTTATGACCGATGTCCGGATTAGTTTACACGCACCTCAAATTAATAGCCAGAAGACAGTTGTCATCTCCATTTAAAAATTGATAATTATTCCAAGACATGAACATGTAGAAAACAAATTGCTCCATTTCTTAAACCACATAAAACAATTTGTCCCTGTAACAAGAGATGAGTTTGTTACATTGAAATCATATAGTGATAGTCAGTTTACCACAGACAAAGGTCATGTAATGATAATAGATAAACAATTATCAAATAAAAAATGTAATGATAATATATAAAAGTACAGTAATGCCATTTATAAATCTTGAGATGAGGTCAATATCTACCAAGGAAAAAGTTTTTCACTTGATTATGCAAAGCCTGTTAACTGTTGATGTGCAAATTCTGAATTACATATTAGTGCCACATGGAACCTAATGGAATTAAGATTTTAGTCAAGTAAGTTTTATGTCAAGTTTTCTTTAAGTTAATGTGTTGCAAAGTTTGCTGACAGTCGACAGGGTTGTCATTTGTTAAGTTCATCAGGACCTGCAACAAGGAGGATAGTATAAGTGTTGACAATCATCACATGAATCACAACCACGTCAAACAGATTCTCAATAAAACACATTTTTAGCCACTCCATTGCAGATGCTCTCATCTTTTCTCCAACTTCTATATTTCAATATTCTATTTGACATAAGTAAAACCAATAATATAAAAAATATTAGGAACTGATGGGCAACTTAGCTGAGTCGGTCATTACAAATATAGTTATATTTCCACTGGCTGCCATTTTAAAATTTTACTCCTTTGAGCAGTATATTAGAATCTTTTAATATCACCACAAATCCAGATGAAAATTCCTCAAAGCAAACTTCTTGAATCATTCATGAGAAGCCAAATTACAGAGTAATTATCCACATAGTGGTTTGCAAGGGGGATAACACTTACTTCCAGATCAACTGATGTTTTGCTTTATATGCTGATGCATACACAACCTCAGCATCACCAGGTCGCCGCCCAGCAAACATCAGGGGAATTATCTGGAACAAACACGAAAAGAAAATTATGGCTCTCGTCCACACAAACGAGAATATGTCAATGTTTAATAACAAAAATGCCAGTTTTCCTTTTTTTCAATGTCCATTTATGATGCCTAGAGTAACCTTTTGTTTATCTTGTTTTCCTTTCTCTTCCTGATGAAGACCCAATACTGGGTGGTACATTGACCTTGGACTCGGGGTGACCTTTGGGAGGAATCACTTGATGTACATTTAAAATGACATTCACACATCATATACGATTCTGTTGTTATCCACTGAATTCGAAAATGTAACAGAGGAATAAATGGTCTATGAACCAAAGCCTTGTTTGGTTTAGATTTCACCAGACTTCACATCTGCTCTTAAAAGTCTGGGATATGAAAATAATAGCCCCAAAATCTAAGACTTTGCAAAGTTTAATTCAAGGAACTATTGAGAGGAACTCCAATTCAATCTCCCTTACTTCAATGAAGCCGCGCCTCGTCTTGCTTCTTGCGCCTAACATTGCTCTCATTAGATAGAGGTACACTGTGGAACAAGCAAAAGAGGGCAATGGCGTAAGATCATTTTTACTTCGAAAAAAAATTCTATTATTTTTACTAATAATAACACAACTGAACACAAAAAAATACACAAATAACAAATAACAAATACAATTTCTATATTAAAAAATAAGTGCATCTAGAGTTGTTAGAAGCTAAGCTATTCGCTGACAATTACATAAGCATAGAGAAAAGTATATGCCCGGCCTTCTTCTAGGTGCTCACAACAAAACATACGAATAATAAACATTTATTACATACATGCACAAACACAAGAACAATATATATATATAGGTAATATACATGAAAAAGAACAAACTAAAAAAGTAAATACATAAAAATCAACTGAATACATAAAAAATTCTAACACAAATAACAAATTACATAAGCATAAAAAATTCTAACACAAATAACAAATTACATAAGCATAAAAAATTCTAACACAAATAACAAATTACATAAGCATAAAAAATTCTAACACAAATAACAAATTACATAAGCATAAAAAATTCTAACACAAATAACAAATTACATAAGCATAAAAAATTCTAACACAAATAACAAATTACATAAGCATAAAAAATTCTAACACAAATAACAAATTACATAAGCATAAAAAATTCTAACACAAATAACAAATTACATAAGCATAAAAAATTCTAACACAAATAACAAATTACATAAGCATAAAAAATTCTAACACAAATAACAAATTACATAAGCATAAAAAATTCTAACACAAATAACAAATTACATAAGCATAAAAAATTCTAACACAAATAACAAATTACATAAGCATAAAAAATTCTAACACAAATAACAAATTACATAAGCATAAAAAATTCTAACACAAATAACAAATTACATAAGCATAAAAAATTCTAACACAAATAACAAATTACATAAGCATAAAAAATTCTAACACAAATAACAAATTGGAAAGTCAAAGAAGAAAAGATGATAATGTATCACCAGACCTTGGACTTGTTAATTCCTCGGTTTGAGAAACTAAACTTTGCTCATCTGTTAAGAGAGAACAACAGGTTCGCAGATTCACTAGCAACTCTATCTTCCATGATAGACATCCCTTTCAGAGTCCGAATGCGTCTGATTATCATTGACCAGAAATTTGTGCCAGCCTACGAGTCGATTGCTGCCACAGATGAGGTTCAAGATGAGAACCCCTGGTCTACAATGTCTGGAACTTTTTGGAAAAAGAGGCGTATCCACCAGGGGCAAATGCCAAGGATAAAAGGGCAATCAAAAGAATGGCCGTTCAGTTCATCTTTTACGGGGGTAAATTGTATAAGAGGGGTCATCTGGGGATGCATAAGCTGTGTGTTGATGTCGAAGAATCGAAGCGCCTGATGAAGGCCATCCATGGAGGAGAGTGCGGAGCACACATGAACGGGGCGATGCTAGCACAGAAGATCCTCAGACATGGTTACTACTGGTCCACCATGGAGGAGGATTGTATCGGTTTTGTTCGGCGATGCCACAAATGTCAGATCCATGCAAACTGCATGAACATCCCGTCGTCGAAGCTGTACAATATGACTTCGCCATGGCCATTTTCAATTTGGGGAATTGATGTGATCGGGGCCGTCACTCTGAAAGGGTCCAATGGGCATGAGTTCATTCTGGTCGCGATAGATTATTTCACGAAGTGGGTCGAGGCCCAATCTTTTGCGGTGTTGAAGGCTTCGTATGTTACAAAATTCCTCCGGAACAACATCATCTATCGCTATGGGGTCCCAAACGAGATTATTTCAGATAACGGTTCCTACTTCAACAAGGAAGTGAATGACTTGTTGGAAAAATAGAACGTGGCTTTTCATAAGTTGTCCACATACTAGCCTCAGACCAATGGAGCAGTTGAGGCCGCCAACAAGAACATCAAACACATTTTGCAGAAGATGGTGGAAACCTACCAGGACTGGCCAGATAAGCTGCCATTTGCTCTGTGGGACTACCGGACTTCAATCAGAACTTCTACTGGGGCGACTCCATATTCATTGGTTTATGGGATGGAGGCCGTTCTACCTATCGAAATTGAGGTTCCGTCTTTACGAGTACTGGCTGGGTGTCAGATAGCCAAAGCAGATTGACAACAGAGCAGATTTGAGGAACTCATGCTCTTTGACGAAAGGAGACTGAAAGCACTGTACCATGTTCAAGGTCATCAGTGCAGAATTGCCAGGGCTTTCAACAAGAAAGTCAAGTCCAAAAATTTGAAGGAAGGAGATTTGGTGCTCAAAGACAACCGAGCCCCCATCCATGACTCTAGGGGCAAGTTCAGACCCAATTGGACTGGTCCCTACATCGTTAAGTCTATTTGGTCAGGTGGAGCTGTCATTCTGATGGACCTAGATGGCCTAGAGTTCTCACAACCGATCAACATGGAAAAGTTGAAGAAATATTACCCCTGAGAGGCTCGCTAGGCCGAAAACCCGAAGGGCGACCTAGGCAAAAGTTAGAGCACAGAAAATTCGAAATTATAAAAACTGAGCTCGCAAGGTTGAAAACCCGCAAAGGGCGGCATTGGCAAAAGTTAGAGCATAAAAGGAGAGTGAAAATACTCGAGTGAACTCGAGCCTGAACTACGTAAGGCTTGATTCCCATCTTTGGGATACGTAGGCAACTTCATCTTAAAGTTCAGCCATAAACTTTTTCCCGATCAACTTGGTCCATTTGATCATCTCTGTCATCTTTGTCTATTCAGCATTCAAGAGTTCGGTTGTGATCTCCGGTGCAGTGCTACTCAGACTAGGGGCAAATTTCCAGTTGTTAGAATCCGGGGTTGTGCATCTTAAAGACAGATCTCAGGCGTGTCCAGTTTTGATCCATGTCGAAAATGGTTTTGAAAAGTTCTAATAAAAGTTGATTTTGTTCAAATTAATCTTTTTACAACTTAGACCATTTTTGGACCAAACGGAAAGTTTTCAGTACCCACAACCTTCAATTTTATTGATTTCAATACAGAGTCCTCCTGCTCTTTCATACAAATTGTAGTTGCTTTTGGTTACATTCATAAAGAAAACTTGAAAGTACTGATAAAGTAATAAATCCAGGGCATAGATAAGTCAGGTGTTCCTGCGTCCCCTCCCAGAGCTGGTCGAAGCTTCTGATGCCAAGCTGGGCCTAATCTGCACCTCTTCGTTGAGCCAATCTATGCACTCATCAGACAAAGTGCAGCTAAAAGTGGGAGCGGGCCCAAGAGTTCTCTCGTCCTCCATGCTGTGATATACCGAGCAAGCTGTGCGCCTCAGACTGGGAATGCAGCAGGGTACTCTATCCCCTCTGGCGGGCAAGTCTGATCATGGCTGAACTAGCGTTGGAACCAGAAAGGAAAGTAAAACACGCAGTGCGTCAGACCAACCAACTGAATCCCAGTCTGCCGGGACATGCTGTAGCTCATTGCCGGTAGATTGAGCCAAGGATAACGCCAAGCAATGCGGTCTGCGGACAAATGGCACATCCAGTCGAACCACCATCCCTCATCAAGGGCATCGACTAGGCGTCTTATTTTCATTTAGTGACGAATTTTATTTTCTTCACTAGTTTTTGTCACCATAGGTTACTTTTGTTGTAGTGTAGGGTGCTAACATAGTTGGGATTATTTAGCTCATTGTGATGCTTTTACACTTTCCTTTTTATTTATTGATGCAATTTGCCTTGTACCTTGTACTTGTTTATTCCATCAATAAAGTTTTTTTTTGCCGATCAAAAAAAAAAAAAAACAATTTTTTGAATTTTTTGTTTTTTGTTATTTTTAGTGATTTTTTTAATATTTTAGTCATATATTTTATTTTTATTTTTATATGCACCTAATATAATTGTATCTAAAAAGTAAAATATTTGTAAAGAAATTTAAAAAGCATTCAATAAATACATAAACATAAGAAAAAGTACTGAAATTTTGTATATATTTTTTTGTATCTAGTGAATTTTATGAGATTTTTCAAAATTTGTTTTAAACCTTTTACGTGCATTTAGTTTAAGTGAATCTAGGAAAAAAAAAAATTTAAAATTAAAAAAAATTACTAAAACTTTAAAAATATAGATTGGAAACTAAAAAATTGCATTTGAAAAGTTCAAAACCAAACAGAGTAATTATTATTATTATTTTCTTATTTAGCGTAGGATTATACAGAATAAGTTATTTTAATTTAAGATAGTTAATTTTGGAGTAATTTTGCAATGACAATTTTAAACATAAATGTTTATTATTATTATTATTATTATTATTATTATTTTCCTATTCAGCATAGAATTATACATAATAAGTTATTTTAAGATAGTTAATTTTGGAATAATTTATTTCGAGGAGAAAATTTTTGAAGTTTGCAATGACAATGGCCTCGTTTGGGAAGTGGCTATTTTAGTAGGCTATTTTAGTTTTTGGCTATTTTAAGTA